AGTGTTGGAGTTTCAGCTTCAGCATCAGTCCTTCCAATGAATATTCAGGACTGATTTCCTTTAGGATGGACTGGTTGGATCTCCTTGCAGTCCAGGCGACCCTCAAGAGTTTTCTCCCAACACCACAGCTCAAAAGCATCAATTCTTCGGTGCTCAGATTTCTTTATAGTCCAACTCTCATATCCATACATGACTACTGGAAAAACCATAGCTTTGACTAGATGGACCTTTGTTGGCAAAATAATGTCTCTGCTTTTTAATATGTTGTCTAGGTTGGTCATAACTTTTCTTCCAAGGAGCAAGCATCTTTTAATTTCATGGTACCCAGTAGGTGCTCCATAAATATTTGCATATGAATAAGTGGATCTATAACTAGTTTTTAATCAGAAGTCTTTTGCTTCTAAGTAATTATATTACCTTTATCCAATAATACACAATTAAGATGTATATGCTTGCTTTTTGGAAGGAAAGCTATGACAAACCTAGATAGCATATTAAGGAGATCTATGACAAACCTAGATAGCATATTAAGAAGCAGAGACATCATTTTGCTGACAGAGGTCGGTATAGGCAAAGCTATGGTTTTTCCAGTAGTCATATATGGATATGAGAGTTGGATCATAAAGAAGGCTGAGTGCTGAAGGATTGATGCTTTGAATTTGTGGTTCTGGAGAAGACTCTTGAGAGTTGCTAGGACTGCAAGGATTTCAAACCAGTCAAAATCAACCCTGAATATTCACAGGAAATACTGATGCTGAAGCTCCAATATTTTGGCCACCTGATGTGAAGAGCCAACTCATTGGAAAAGATCCTGATGCTGGGAAAGATTGAATGCAGGAGGAGAACAGGGCAACAGAGGATGAGATGGTTGGATGATATCACCAACTCAGTGGTCATGTGTTTGAGCAAACTCTGGGAGACGGTGAAGGACAGGAAAGCCTGGCATGCTGCAGTCCATGTGGTCCAGAGAGGCAGACACAACTGAATGACTAGCCAACAACAGCAACACAATTAACATGAGAGATAGTTCTGAATTTGCTGAGTATCTTACAATAAAGGTTTAACTAATAAAGCTATAAAGCCAAAACTAGCATCATGTTGTTGCTCTTGACTTACCAGTCATGGAGAGGTGTAGACCATCATCTTAAGATGATGAAGGAAGTGTGATCTGATTCCTGGTCTATGGGGTACCATGGTCCTGATGCTCCAGGATGCCAGCTCAATTGTTTCTTATTTTAATCATCACCACCTCCCCCATTTGGAGTCAGTAGGCTCAGTGATGCCCTTCTGCATGATACAGTTTTCTTAAGAGATAAATAACTGCTTCTGAGTATCTTCACTAAGTGCTTCTTAGAACAGCTTGATAACATGAGAGCTGACTCACAGTCCACTGTGGGGCCGGCACTGCACACGCAGTCTGGGAGCAGGAGCCAGTGACCCCTGGGGCAGACAGGGCACTGGTGACTTAGTGGTTTTTCCCCCGACCTTAATATATTTTTTTTTTCAAAATTTAAACTTTTTATTTTTACTGGGTTTTAGCTGATTAACAATGTTGTGATAGTTTCAGTTGAACAGGGAAGGGATTCAGCGTACATGTATCCATTCTCCCCCAAACTGTGCTATACAATAGGTTCTTGTTGGTTATCCATTTTGAATATAGCAGTGTGTGCATGACCATCCCAAACTCCCTAACTATCCTTTCCCTCCAGCAACCATAAGTTGGTATTTTTCTAAGTCTGCAGGTCTTTCTGTTTTGTAAGTAAGTTCATTTGTATAATTCTTTTTAGGTTCCACATATCAGAGATGTCTTATGATACTTCTCCTCTGTCTGACTTACTTCACTCAGTATGATATTCTCTAGGTCCATCCATGTTGCTCCAAATGGCATTACTTCATTCTTTTTAATGGCTGAGTAAAATATTCCGTTGTATATGTACCACATCTTTATGTATTCCTCTGTTGATGGACATTTAGTTTGCTTCCATGTCTTGGTTATTGTAAACAGCAGTGCAGTGAACACTGGAGTGCATGTATCCTTTCAAATCATGTTTTTCCCTGGACCTGTGCCCAGGAGTGGGATTGTAGGGTCATTCGGTTTTGACAGGCAGTTGCGTTGGCAGGGACTTGGACAGGGGATGGGCTGGGGGTGCAAACCAGGGCCGCCTGCACTGTGACCAGTGCAGCTGAAACAGAACCACCTCGACAGGCAGAGCACAGCCACGTGGCATGCCCTTCTCCCTGCTGGCATGACATGGCATGTTAATCTTGGCCACCGTGCTCCAGACCAGTGCAAACTAAGCTCCAAAAGAAGCGAAAAGATTCTAAACGCATACTCAAGAGACACAAGATTTGCAGGCTGGCAGAAGAAACCATCAGGACATTTAAGCTGGTTCGGCAGTCTGCGTGAGGCTCTCTGCATGCGTTCAGAGTTGGGTGGTTATCTGGCTGGCAGGATCAGGAAGAAGCAAGGAGAGTTTAAAAACGTACCTGAAGGATAGTTGCTGCTCTGCTTGAGTTCATGGTCTTTTAAAAGGTAAAATTCTTTGTCTTCTGTTGGCTTCAGATGGATGAGTGCTGCATTCTGCAAAATTCCCATTTTCTAGTGGAGCGGGCATAGAGAAAGGGTCCTGGGACCGGCTCGGAAGTTTCCCATCAGTGATCCCAGGATGATGAGCCATGTTCGTTGCATCACAAGCAGATATTCATTCAGGGTTGAGCCCCCATCTGTGACCATGCCACTGAGATGCTTAGAGGGGTCTCAAGAGTTTGTCAGTCTGTACGAAATTGGGGGGAAAGATGTCTCTTTTCTCTTTTAAAGAGGAAGACTTTTCCTTTGGTGGTGTTCCTGGAAATAGCTTACTAAGAAAATAATACCATGGTTCTTGCAAAGCAGCCTTCCTTGTTCTGCTTCTGTGGTTTAGGAAAGTGAGATCAATTTGACATTCAGTATTGAAAACTTGCCCCTGAAACAGGTGCTTACTACCTTTTGACTTTGAGAAAAAGTTCTGTTCCCTGGGGTAAGATCAGCTAACTCTTGTGCGTCTTCTCTTCCCATGACTTTCCCTTCCTGATTTTAGCACCTGGTGGCCAAGCTCTGATTCATGGAGACCGATAGATAAAGTGTCTTCTCATACCCCAGTCAGGCTTCCCAGGTGGCTTAGTAGTAAAGAACCCACCTGCCAATGCAGGAGACCTGGGAGACATGGGTTCAATCCCTGGGTTGGGAAGATCCCCTGGAGTAGAAGATGGCAACTCACTCCAGTATTCTTGCCTGGGAAATCCCATGAGCAGAGGAACCTGGCAGGCTACAGTCCGTGGGGTCACAAAGAGTCAGATGCTATTTGCATACATGAATGCCTCAGTATCTTAGTCTGTAAGATGAGGACGGCAGACCTGACTCACCTGATGGTCACGAGGGTTCACGGGTTACTGTTTTAAAGTTATTTCATGGGTGGCTAGTGCACAGAGTGTTCCCTCTGCCCTTCTTTGTTGTGCTGGGTCTCCGTTGCTGCAGGGGCTTTTCTCTAGTTGCGGTGTGCAGGCTTCTCATTGCTGTGCCTTCTCTCGTGGTGGAGCCCAGGCTCCTGAACTCACAGGTTCCAGTGGTCACAGCACTCGGCTTCAGTTGTTGTGGTGCACAGTCTTAGTCGTGGAGCAGTCCTGTTTACTCCCTGGTGTCAGGACTTATAATCTGGATGACAAGGGAGGCTGATAAAATATTTCTTCTCCAGGATACTCCTTTTCATGATTCAGATGGCTGTGTTTTGAAAATAGCGCCTCCATTAGCAATTCGAGTGATAGCTACATTGTTACAGCAGGTTGATCAATTTCCCAAGATATTTTATTCCCTTGCCACAAGATGATGCTGATGGCTGGCACCCTTGTCTGGGACTTAACCATGTCCTAAGCATTTACAAATCTGTTAATTCATTAACTTCTCTCAGCAACCCTTGGAGATAAGGACCGTTACTATGCTCATTTAAGAGTTAAGGAAACTGAGGCACCAAAGAGTTTGTTTAGAGTTATACAACTATCATATGGCACAGCCAGGGTTCTAACTGTTTCCTGTCTGGTCCTTCCTCACCTCTCCAACTTCATCTTCTACTGTCCTCTTTGGTGTGGTCCAGTCGAATGGCTTCTGCTCCTTGAACATTCTGCCTCAGGGCTTTGCATAACTCTTACCTAACGCCAGCTGTCATATGTGTGTGTGGTTTGCAGCTAGAGCCTGGATCAGAAAATAAATTTTTTTTTTTCAGTGTTTGGGTAAAACAGATATGACTTTCATATATATATATATATATATATATATATATATATATATATAAAACTACATGTGTGTGGGTTTGTGTATATTCTTCTTTCTCACAGTGATCACTTGCTTCCTTATTTTTAAATGAAGAACTTGAGCTTTTTTTTTTAATTTTATTTATTTATTTGGCTGTTTTGGGTCCTCGCTGCGGCACGAGGGATCTTCGTTGCGCCATGCAGGACATTTCAGTGCAATGCAAGGGCTCTCTAGTTGTGGCATACAGGCTCGGTTGGTCCACAGCAGGTGGGAACTTAGTTCCCGATCAGGGATTGAACCAGCATCCCCTGCATTGCCAGGCAAATCCTTAACCACTGGACCACCAGGGAAGTCCCAACGATTGCTTTCTTCTACCGATTTAAATTGTGTTCATTACATTTGTTTGCTCTAGGGCCCTGTCCACCAGATCTCTCTTCAGGGTTTCCACTGGGGAATTTGACAAAGAAATGGGGTCCCAGAGCCTGAAACCAGAACCTTGACAGAAAGGGGTTTTCTGTTCCTTTCCTGAGAACTTGGACTGCGGTAGCGGTATAGTCTTGTGTGAGGTGTCAGGGTGACCACCAGCCTGGACAAACCCCGGTGATCGGGTTGAGTCGGTGACCATCTCAGATGTCCGTCCTACAGGCTAGACTGGGCCACGGGTTAATGCCCCTTCTTTCGGAGCACAGCCTCACCCTTCCCTGTTCTGCCCTAGATAACCAGTTCAGGATGTCCATCCTGGAGCGGCTGGAGCAGATGGAGAGGAGGATGGCAGAGATGACCGGGTCGCAGCAGCACAGGCAGGGGAGCGGCGGAGGCGGCAGCGGCGGGGGCACGGGGAGCAGCAGCGGAGGCGGCCAGGCCCAGGTACGCGTCTCGGAGGACCGCCGCCTTCCCGACGTTCCGCGCTGCACTGGGGAGCGAGGCAGGCGGCCCCAAGCCGCTTCTCTTCTGCTGACGCGCTTCCTGGATGAGGCGAAAGGCAGGGCCGGGCGCTTGTAGTCCTTGTGCTTCTGGGTATTTGAGTCTGTTCAACAGGGAAGAAGCCTTGGACTGCGGGCCTTCTCAGTTGTTCACCTTCCTAAGCTTTAAATCACCTGCTGATCTCAGAAGTCACTGCAGTTACCTGCCAGCAGGAGGGAGGGCATCCAGCGACAGGACAGAGGCCAAACGATGACTCAGATCTGCTGGGCTCAGAGTCCAGCTAGAACCTATTTTGTATCTTGTGTTCTATCTCTATCTTAAGTATAAATAGAAGCCATAATTGAATTCAGTAATTCATAAGACTTTTATAAACTCCGGGAGTTCAATCGGAACAGGGCCCAGAGAAACTGTGTTTGTGCTTTTTCAGTAGAGAACAATAGAACAACGTTAACATTCCGTCATTGTCACAGATGCTTTTTCATCAGTTCCATGAGGGATGAATTAGTGTTGTCAGGTACAGGGAAGTCACCAAATACTAGAGTCCTGGTAGTCTTGAGAGTTTTATATCAATTTCTTATAGGAGCTTCATTTTGGGAAAGTCTCCTAGGTAGACATTTTTTTTTTTTCCAGGAGACTCTAGAATAAAGGTAGAGGGACCGATGGGGTTTATCACCTTCCCCACTGAGTCATTACCTAATTCTCCCTCTTTCCCTTCAAGATGATGATTTTCCCCGAACACTCATATTTTTAAGTGAACATTTTGAGTTTTATGAGACTTGTAAATATCAAGTGTTAGTAATATTTTTAGTAATAGATGAAAACAAAGCATAAAGTACCACCACCCTCCCAAAAATATCAACCTTTTTTGGAAAATTTTCTTATTTCTCACCTGTCTTCAGAAATCAATGGACAAGGAAAGACTTGGCACAAAGTAAAATATTAAGGCTTCTTGTCCACCTGATACAACTGTTTTATAAAAAGAAGTAAACATTGTTTACTATGTATCTCATGGCTAAAATAAGAGAGTCCCACAAAGCCCTTTTTCTTTCACTGGCGAAGGCTACAGAAAGGGCCTGGAGTGTAATGTCCATTGTATAGCTCAGCTGTTTGGCCCCTGGCCTGTTGTTTGATCCCATATTAACTGCTACTGAATACTCTTTCATCAGTTTAAGTTGGCATCAAGGAATATCTCTCCACTTTATGTGATAGAGATGTAGCCGGTCTTGTTAATGCAAAAAAAAAAAAAAAGAAATTCCTTTTGATCCTTACCTGGTGGCTTCCACGTGCCCCGAATGCGTCTGCCTGGTTACCTGGTGGCTTCCACGTGCCCCGAATGCGTCTGCCTGGTTACCTGGTGGCTTCCACGTGCCCCGAATGCATCTGCCTGGTGCATACAGAGCAGCCCTGCCTCGGCCTTTCACGTCAAGGCCGTTCTGCAGCAGGTCAGGGTTGCCTGGCTACATTCCTCTAACATGTCATGACATTTCTAGTGAGGGTGACATTATAGCTGTTTTCTGGGTATTTAAAAAATTTTTTACAGGCGTTTGTTTTCCACATTAAAAAAAAAAAACGATGAGGAACAACAGTATTTCATGGGGTTCGTTACTGGACAAAATAACTTAAAATAATGACCAGAGACAGGACCTCCCTGGTGGTCCAGTGGTTAAGACTTCACTTTTCACTGCAGGGGGTGCAGGTTCGATCCCTGGTCAAGAAACTAAGATCCCACATGCCTCTAGGCCAAAAAACCAAAGCAGTAAAACAGAAGCAACATTGAAACAAATTCAATAAAGACTTCAATAGTCCACATCAAAAAAAAAATCTTTAAAAAACACCAGAAATGAGAATTGGACCAGAGTGCCATTTGTTTGGGAGAGAGGGTGTGAAACATAAAATTATCACAAAGAGGAGATATATGTATATAAACATACAGATGATTCACTTTGCAGTGCAGCAGAAGCTAACGCCACATTGTAAAACAATAAAATATACCCCAATAAAATATACACCCCAATAAAAAATTTTTAAAAAGAAAATATTGTAGACAAACACAGATGATATTTGAGGCTAGTCATTTGTTTAGATGCTGGGGATTCTGAATAAAATTTCATTAAAAAAAAAAACCTATCACAGAGACTCAGACAAACTGTTGAGGTTACTAACTTTGATTTTATTTTTCTTCTTGTACAACTTCCTTACAACAAAGAGAAGAAAGCCAGGTGGCTAAAATGAGTGAATTTCTCTTTCCCATGTGCCTCTGTTGTTGTTAGTACTGTAATAACACTTGAATTTGGAAGTCTCTAATGCCTTCCCCAGTCTCCTTTTTGCTTTCTATAAAGGACTGGATTATTCCTGGATTTTTTAAATTTATTTTTTCAAATGAGCTATAGTTGACATATAACATCATATTAGTTTCAGGTATACAACAGAATGATTAAGCATTTGTGTACATTGCCAGATGATCACCATGATAAGCCTAGTTAACTTCTATCATCACACTTATAATTTTTTTTCTTGTGATGAGAACCTTTAAGATATGCTGTGTTAGCAACTTTCAAATATGCAGTTCAGTGTTATATACTTTAGTTGCCATACTGTACATGACATCCCCAGGACTTATTCATTCGATAATTTCAAGTTTGCATCTTTTGACTCCTTCACTATTTTGCTCACCTCTTACCCTCCCCCTCTGCATGTAACTATTAGTCTGTTCTCAGGATCCATGAAGTCAAGAAGGCTTTCTGTGTATGTGTTTGGTTTTTGTTTAAGATTCCACATATAAGTGACATACAGTATATACATTATATACCTGTCTTTCTCTCTGACTTATTTCACTGAATGCCTGTAAGGTCCATCCATGCAGTTGCAAATATGTCATTGGATATTTTAAAGTTCTTCTTTAGGGAGAAAAATCCCCAAGTGACAGTTCTTCTCCAGAAGGAGCTGGGGAGTCAGTGGTCCAGGCAGCACCCCCTTAACCCCACTTCCCTAGAAGCATTAAGAAAGTTACCTGCTTCACTTTCCTCTGCCAGTTTCCTGTCTACAGTGTTTAATTATATCACCCGGGAGGCTAGGCCACATTTTTGTTTGTTGTTTCATAGTATATGCTTTCCCTGAACTGGATCAGCACGGAGTTCACAATCACACTGTCAGCTGCAGTAGACAGACTGATGCCCATAGAGTTGTGGAAGATTCCTGTGTGCGCGGCTGTGGGTGTGCTGCTAAGCTGGGCTCAGCATGTTCTGTCTCCCTTTCATGATGTCTCCTTATCTTCAGTTCTGTGCTTCCTGTTTTCAGTTGCTAATCACAAAGAGTTTCTCCCCGCTCTGGCATCTGAAGGCTGACATGGTGGTGGGCCTTTGGGCCTCCGGTCATCGGAACACGTGCTGTCTCATTGCAGTGCGCGTCCGGCCCCGGGACACTGGGCAGCTGCTTCGAGAGCCGCGTGGTTGTTGTGTGTGAGAAGATGATGAGCCGAGCCTGCTGGGCAAAGTCCAAGCATCTGATCCACTCAAAGACTTTCCGTGGGATGACCCTCCTCCACCTGGCCGCTGCCCAGGGTTACGCCACCCTCATCCAGACCCTCATCAAGTGGCGGTAAGGCCGGTGTCCTCCTCACCCGTCAGGAGGCACTTCTCTGAGTGTGTCCACTAGTGGACGGAAATCTGGCCATTCAGGGAGGATGGGATCCTCACAGCAAAGGAGTCTCTCTGAGGACAGTTCCACAGAGTTCTGTGAACTTCTGCCCAAGAAGTACTGAGCGAGATGCTAAAGTAAACTTTGGACTTTTCATTTCCTCCTGGCTCCTGGCAGAACAGAGCATCCAAACCACCTAGGAAACCCGGGACTTGGTTTCTTCCCATCAGGAATGTTGGCTGCACGCTTTGGTTTCATCTCTGTGGGTTTTATAATGTTGTGGTATTTTTAAACTTTCTCTGTGCAGTAACTTGTGATGCTCTCTGTTCCAGCACAAAGCATGCAGACAGCATTGACTTGGAACTGGAGGTCGACCCCTTGAATGTAGACCACTTCTCCTGTACTCCTCTGGTAAGAAATGGGTTTGTTTGTTCCCCAAACTGTTCTTCTGGGCTGGCATAGGGATATGCCTGGCTCCCTTTGTGTTCGCCCTCTTTAATACATGACATATATCGGAGCCACTTTGTAACGGAAATGTTTTATGGCACCGTTGAGATTGCTGCCAAGGACCAATTTGTCAATTGGCAGCAGTGGCAGAAATCAAATAAGATTTTTTTTTTTAAACTCATATTGAGGAAGCGCGCTCTGTCTCTCTGTTTTTTTAGATGTGGGCGTGTGCTCTCGGGCACTTGGAAGCAGCTGTCGTGCTGTACAAGTGGGACCGTCGGGCCATCTCTATTCCAGACTCTCTAGGAAGGCTGCCTTTGGGAATTGCCAGGTCACGGGGTCACGTGAAGTTAGCAGAGTGTCTGGAGCACCTGCAGAGGGATGAGCAGGCTCAGCTGGGACAGAACCCCAGAGTTCACTGTCCTTCAGGCGACGAGCCCAGCACGGAGAGCTGGGTGAGCCAGTGGCACAGCGAAGCCATCAGCTCCCCAGAAATACCCAAAGGGGTCACTGTCATCGCAAGTACCAACCCAGGTAAGAGTCCTAAATGGTGACATCTCAGCACTTGGCGGATTCCCCTTTTGTTGTCATGCCACTACCCTCGGAAAAGTCTGTAGGATGTTCACATACATTTAAGGGTTTGGGGTTTTCTTTTTAGTGTTTCTAGTTTTCCTTTTAGCTGTTAGAATGCCTAGTGCTTCCCCCAACCCTGTTCGCCCATCCCACCCCTAAAACTGGGGGGGAAAAAAAAAACTATGTAAATGTGAGAAAGAACTACAAATTTTGGAGGAGGATTATTTGAATACAGTATATACTGCTGGGGAATAAGTAAACGTTAGGGATGCGTCTTGAGTTCTGGCTTTGCACTCTGTGTCTCTCAGGCATAGAGAATGTGTTAATTCTTTAGCATTCCTCACTGTACCATCTGTCCTGACTGTCCTTTCTACTGTACTTTTCAGAGCTGAGAAGACCTCGGTCTGAACCCTCTAATTACTACAGCAGTGAGAGCCACAAAGATTATCCAGCTCCCAAAAAGCATAAATTGAACCCCGAGTACTTCCAGGCAAGGCAGGAGAAGCTGCTGTCCACTGCACTGAGTCTGGAACAGCCAAATATCAGGAAGCAAAGCCCTAGTTCTAAGCAGCCTGTCCCCGAGACAATCAGCCCCAGTGAAGGATTGAGGGACTACAGCCGGGAGATCTCCCCTCCCACTCCAGAGACTGCAGGATTCCTCCACGCCTCTGCATCCCAGCCGGTAGTAAAATGGAACCCCAAAGATCTTTACATTGGTGTGTCTACAGTACAGGTGACTGGAAATCCGAAGGGGACCAGTGTAGGCAAGGATGCAGCACCTTCACAGGTGCGTCCACGGGAACCCATGAGTGTCTTGATGATGGCTAACAGAGAGGTGGTGAATGCCGAGCTGGGGTCCTACCGTGATGGCACAGAGGGTGAGGAGTGCCCACAGCCCGTGGATGACATACAGGTGAGCGCGGAGAAGGTAAGCTTGCAGGGGCTGGCCCGTCCATCCGCACTTCCTTGATCTTTACTGCCAGTTTCCTAGAGGTCTTGTTATTTTCTCACCAGTGACTGATTCAAAGTCTGGGCTTATGTATAAGACGAGTGGACTGTCTTCTTCACTTGGGCCAATCATGAAGCAAACATTCTGAACTGGGCCTGAAAACCAGGGACTGAAATATGCTTATTAGAAATGTCAAGTTAGTAGATAGTGTCAAAACAGGCTCAGGGTTTCTAAGTCACTTAAAGTGGGGGAAAAGAAAATTTGGCTCACTTGGGAAAAGTTCAGAAATTGGTAATAAGGAAAAAAAGCAATAACAAAAATAATACTCTGAAATATAATATTATAGGAATATTTTCAAACATGAGTCATTCCCACTCTGGAAACTGTTAATTCTATTAAAAGATTCTCAGACTGGATAAAAAGAAAAGGAAGCAAAGTGTATTATATACTGTTTGTAAAAGACAGAATTAAAATGAAGCAGAAAGGGTGAAAATGAAGTGACAGGTGAAGATGTAACAGACAGAAGAGTATAAAAAGAAAAAAGACAAAAAGTATAATTAAGGCAAATATTATATATATATACAATTTATCAAAAAGATATGACCATAATGAACCATTGTGCACCTAACAACGTAGTTTCTAAATATTAAAGCAAATAAATACAAAGAAATGTGGTACCAGAACCACAATCATAGTATGACACTAACGCAACTATCTCAAAAGTTGTCAGCTGAGGTATATGTGAAGAGAAAATGAAAAAAATTGACAATACAATTAGAAAGTTTGATTTAGTACATATACTTAATATATGATTGTATAATTTTGTAGATGTTTGAATACACATGATAAATATACATATCATTGTTCTGAGATAGCCAAGCACATTTGTGAAAACTGCTCATATATTAGAACCCAAAGAGAATTTTAATAAAATTCCAATGTCATTTGAATAAAAAGCCCTAAAGTCATTTAAATTTCATCACCTTTTGTAGGTGTCACACTAAGAAATCATCTACTTTGTATCTCAGAGTATTGCACTTACAATGTTAAGGTGTTCTTATACTAACCCAGTTTTATGAAATGGAGGATTTGGGAGAGGAGTGACTACAGATAGTTAAAACCTCTTTAGTCTCCAGAAATTCCACTTTTTAATATTTTCATGGGAAAAGGATCAAGGTAGGACTTACTTCCTCCTGTTTGAGTCACCAGTCAAGACGGTCAATGTCGGAGGAGAAGAAAAGCTGTGATATTTCTTCCCTAAATGTTTTCATTTGTATTCCTGTTACAATTCTTTGTTGACAATATCGAAAATTACCCAAGATAAGTATTTTTTAACAGTTTTATTGGGGTATAACTTACAAACAGTAAATTCATTTATTTTAAGTGTTCAACATAATGAATGTTTGTGAGTTTGTACAAAATTCACAGTCATCACAAAAGTCCCATTTAGAACACTTCCTTTCCCCCACAGAAGTTCCCTGTGCCCCTTTGCGGTCAACCTCTGCCCCCATTCCAGCCCTATGGATCTGATTTCTCTCCCCTAGAATTTTGCTTCTTGAAATGTTATATAAATAGAATCATAAACCATTACATTCTGTGTCTGGCTTCTTTCAGTCAGCATAATATTTGTGACGTTCACGCATGTTGTAAGATAAGCATTTAATCTTTTTTGTATAGGTCCTTTCTGAACATTTTCAGTTCACTTAAAAACTGCTGTATTTCAACTTCTATTTTCAAGAGATGTGCAAGAAAACTTTTAAAGCCAAGCTCGTATCTCTGATTCTAATCAAATAGATCTACTCTAGACTCATTTGTGAGGATTCCTAAATGTATCTGTTAGGAATTTATTTTGGGATGCTTGTGTCAGCAGCCTGACTCCAGTGGCTTAATAAGAATGTGATTTCTTTTTCTTGTACAAGTCCAGAGGTTTGGTAACTCAGTAATGCCATCAGGGACCTGGATTTTTTTTTTCTTTCTGTTCTTTTTGGCTTTTCTCTTCACTCCTGTTGCTTTATGATCATGATGTGGCTTCTTGAGCTCGGCTGAGGTCAGAGCAGGAGAAGAGTGGCGGGGCCAGGTGCATCGGGCACCTTTCACTGGGAAAAGCATAAGCTCTGCCTACATATCTCCCAGCAGACTTGTGTATAGTCTCCCTGTCCAGAGGCTAGTCACAGATCCCCGCCTTGGTGCAGGAAGGTGGGAAACAGAAGAGGATCAGGACAGGTGGCTTATCTTAGTCACCAGCTGTCCCCTGGGCTTTGGCTCTCTGCTGATCTCTACAAAACTAGGGTTCCCTGGGCAGGACAAAGTGTGGGCGGTGGGGTGAGCGTAGTAGTCAGGTGGGAACACACTCCAGGATTCTTGCCTGGGAAATCCCATGGACAGAGAAGCCTGGAGGGCTGCAATCCATGGGAGTCACAGAGTCAGACACGATTCAGCAGCTAAACAACAAGTGGTCAGGTAACCAGCCATATCACTATAATTACATGACCACGTCCTCTAGAACTGCCCAGGCCTTAGTATCCTTAATCAGTTGATCCTAGCTGAGAGTAGAAAGTAGGCATAAGCCAGATATTCTCAAAGACTTAAGGTTTTGGACCGAGCTGATTTTTGGAGATCCTCAAATCTGGGATCTCAGCATATGTGAGTGAATCATGTAAAACCTTTAGGTAATTTCAGAGGGCACTAGACTGACATGTAAGCTCACCCTCCTTCATTTCTCTTCCCCAGGTAGGGGGTGGGAGGTAGGCCTGGCTGGCTTCTAGGGCCCCATCCTAACCTGAGTGCTCTGTGACCTCCGGGTTCCAGGTGAACATGATGACCTTGGCAGAACACATCATTGAAGCCACACCTGAACGGATCAAGCAGGAGAACTTTGTGCCCATGGAGTCCCCGGCGTTGGACAGGACAGACGCGGCCACCATTAGCAGTACCATGAGCTGGCTGGCCGGTTACCTGGCTGACGTAGACCATCTGCCAAATGCTGCCCAGATCAGGTCAGTAAAGTCCATGGGCCTCTCCCCAGGGCAAGTTCCTGGATTTACCTGGAGGCGCAGGAGACCCACTGGATCTGAGGAGATCTGGGTAGTGGATGCCCTTATCAAGGAAGGAAGGAAGCATTAGGATGGATTCCATTGCCTCTTTCAAGGACCTCTCTCTTCCTCACCTCTGCTGTGATTTTTCTTGCCATGGCAGAGTGTAATGTGTCATAGCATGTTCTCCCCAGTTCAACTGAAGCTTCACGTTGGATAGTGGACTTACTGGGTTTAGCACTTAGCCCAGTACTGAACTCATAACAGGTGCTCAGCATGAAGTTACTAATTGAAGGACACCCGGAGTCTCCTTAGCATCTCTCTGGACTGAGTAGAAGTGTATCCTTCATGGTCCACAGTGGGTACCATCTTGTCTCTTTGACCAGTGTGTGGTGAATCCTGCAGACCAATCACCAGCCTCTCTCCCTCATGTCTTCTTTTGTTTCAGAAGTGCATATAATGAGCCTCTCACCCCTTCTTCTAATACCAGCCTGAGCCCTGTAGGCTCACCAGTCAGTGAAATAACTTTTGAGAAGCCCAGCCTTCCCTCTGCAGCAGACTGGTCTGAGTTCCTGAGTGCATCCACCAGTGAGAAGGTGGAGAATGAATTTGCTCAGCTGACCCTGTCTGATCACGAACAGAGAGAACTCTACGAAGCGGCCAGGCTTGTCCAGACAGCTTTCCGGAAATACAAGGTAAAAGACAAGAGTCCTAGGGATTTCCCTGGTGATCCAGTGGTTAAGACTCTATCCTACCACTGCAGGGGGGCGAGGGTTCAAATCCCTGGTCAGGGAACTTAGATCTCACATGCTTTGCAGCCAAAAATAAAGAACTTCTTAAAAAAACAAAAACAAAACAAAAAGACAGACAACAGAGTCCTCTTGTGATCAGGGAAAAGTCAGACTCATTCAAACTGAAATATATGCCATTTCTTTTTATTTCTGAGTTTATAATTTGAAATAAAGATTCTATAATTAGGTCACATGAGATTATTAAGAATTGTCAGAAACTTTAGTGGAATAAAACTAACCAGTAATGCGATGGTTATTACCATCTGAACTTACTGTCAGAGTAATAATAGATATCCATTATTTAGTTAATACAAAGTTGACATCGCTGCCACAAGGACTGTATGACCTGGAGTGAGGGTTTCTGGCTGGAGGCCTGGAGACTGATTGTTGGCTGCCCATGAACTCCTAAAATTTTATGGTGAAGTTTCTGTATGTGTGTTTTTGGTGGGCAAGGTCCAGAGCCTTCCACAATTTCTCAGAGGAGTCTTTGACCTCCCTGGACATGAGTCTGAGCAAAATCTGAGAGATAGTGAAGGACAGGGAAGCCTAGCATGCTGTAGTCCATCATGCTGCAAAGTCAAACATATCTTAGCAACTAAGCAACAACAAGAGGGAGGTGTTATAAGCCATCAATCTTTGACCCAGAAGTAGAGGACTTAGTGTTATCTTAGGAAGGACAGAGCAGAGCAACAACTTATAAAGACAAATAGCACAATACCTAGTTCTTTAAATCCTTCGACTGTTGTTTAGTCCTCCTAACATCCAAATATGATAGTTCTGTTTAGAAGCCAGAATAGTCAGAGAGGTATTCTGTAAATTCATTTTTCTTAATTTATCCTGACATTAACTTGTCATATTTTGGTAAACCTCGCGTCTCAGTTCTGAGAAAGTCAATGAAATGAGTGGTCATTCCATTGAAGTCTTGGGAAAGCTGCATTTCTTATACTGTATCATTTTTTCTTTTCTTGCCTTGCTTTCCCCTGAAGGGCCGACCCTTACGGGAGCAGCAGGAAGTGGCGGCAGCTGTCATTCAGCGTTGTTACAGAAAATATAAACAGGTGAGCCAGCTTGTGAATGCGTCCTACCCATACAGCATCCTAACAGGCATGGGGAGTCCTGTGTGATGTTTGGCAGAGAGCACGGCATCCGATGCCTGACCCGAAGACTGGCTTCGAGTCACCTTGGTTAAAGACCTTAGGAAAATGTTCCAAAAGAGGGAAAAAAAAAGGAAAAACAAACAAAAAATTGTCTGCAACTACTGCCACAAAATAATTTTTGTTCAGACTGTTGACCTCTTAGTGGTATCACTTCCTGCAGTGTTGGTCTGATACAGAGGAAGCTATGTGAGTCATTTTGCCTATAAGCTCATTAGTAATTAAAGAGCTTGAGGAGGTTTGGTATGGTGATGGGAGAAGGTAAATGCTGGTTGTTATCGTTGACCTTGAATCATACACATCACATAACCTTCAGCCACTTTTCCTTTTTGGCTTTTTCTTACCCAGTGTAAAATGAAGAATTGTAAAAAAATCTTTGAAAATGGAAAGAAGCCCAGAGTATCTTACACTGAGCATTCCTTAGTTAAGCGTTGTAAGAGGAGCACCTGAATTACTCTTTCGTTCAGTATTACTGCTTGTGAAATTACCTGCAGGGTCACAGAGCTCTCATCAGACAGGAAGGGAATTGTTCAGAGAACGCCTAATATACCTTCGATCCTTCAGACTCATCATTTCATTTTCTCCTTACAAAAATATCTGAAGTAAACAATTTTATTTCCATTTGGCAGGTGAAGAGGCCAAGACTCAGAGAGATTAAGTAAACATTAGACCTTTCTAACCACCTAGGTAGTGATATTAAAAAAGTGCCAAATTGCGTTTTGACTGGTTCATATGGTAAAGTTCAGTCCTATTAGTAGAACCATTTTTTAGGTTGTGCTTTTGGTAGGTCTTACACTTTTGTTTAAGGAATAATAAATGCTGAGGTAGATACCAGCCACACAGAATATCAGGATTCTGTTCTCTCTGTTATTTCTAAGATTTGCTTGATGCCTCATGTGGATTGCCGCTTTCTCAGGTTGCTCTAGGACTAAGCCTTAATCGTGAAGGGAAAGGGGGGAGTATCTTCAGCTTATAGCCAGTTGAGTTCATGATCCCAGAAAATGAAGGTTTATTGTGTAAACGCTGACACCACAGTCCCTGTTGGGAACCATCCTGGCTTTTGTTTGGCCAGAGGACTTCTTTTTAGCAAGAGCAATACTCGGAGTTTCAAGTCTTTGATTACAGCAGGAGTTTATTCCAAAATGTGAGTTTTTTAGTTGTGTTTTTTTTAATCCCCACCCAAAGAAGTGTTGGCTACAGCCAGAAAGATGGAAGGCATTTTTAAAAAAACACTGGCAAATATAAGACAAGTATTTTGGAAGATGGAAGGTATGAATATAGTGAGATTGCCTTTTTTTCTTTCTTTCTTTGGTTGGGCATTTCATTGGTTCTGATTCTGGTTTTTCATTTCCTTCTATTCAGCAATCTAACATTAATCTTGTATTTTCTGTTTCTCCCCCAAGCTGACATGGATAGCCTTGAAGGTAATGACACACCCTAGTCCTCTCAAACCATTCCACCAGAGTCACAGACCTCACACCCATCACCAACTATGAGAAGGGGCCATTAGGATGGCACGGTCATTCAGTAGGCATATCCCCCCCTCACCCAGCCACCTCGCCACAGCACATCTATCCTCTGGGGACCACGTGGTTATGCTGTTGGAGTGGGTTTCAGCAAACAGTCTTTGGACATTTTCTTGGCCAGTGTCCATCTAAGCAATCCATCCAAGATAATTACTGTGAACCCAGTGAGCCACCGAGGAAATTTACCTGTTTCCCATTGTGCTGCGCTGTGTCTGCAAGGTTCTGACCATGCAGAGCACGCAGGCCAAGGTCATGGAGACACTGTGGGATGCAGCGCCCTTGTCTTGAAAGACTTTGGGCCAGATGAAAATGTCAAGTGGATCAGATAAGACTCAAGAGGGTTCTTGCAGCAGGGCCCTGTGTCTGGAACCTTTTGAGAAGTCAGTTTTTGCCCCTCACTCTACCTCCGACATGCAGAGAGAGACTTAGCTTAGGCACAGGGGTGTTCTGAGGAGCACTCGTCCCTCTCGTGGTAAGTTGGCTTCTTGTGAGCAGAGCCCTCGCTTGTGACTTCTGGTCCCTGGAGCCATAGTCTAAGTGGTTAGCATGCTGGACAGAGCCTTCGCTAACATCTGCAGAGCTCTGCGTTTTTCGTGCCTGGCAGGGAAGAGGACTCATTCTCCCCGAGCATGCCTTCGTGCCTCACTTTCCATCTCTGTGGCAGGCTGGCTGGAGGGCGCAGGGACTGGCTCCTAAGTGGTCCCCGGCTCTGGGGCCACCTTCCAGGTTTCATGCTTCACCCCTGTGTTGGTCTGACGAGCATTAATCTTTTGCAGGTTAAAGTGGCTTAAAGGTGTCAGCGTTTCATGATAAGCCTTGTATTTGGGACCTTGTAACTCAGAAATATGTCGCGTGGAACTGCTAGTTAGAAGTCAGATGCTGCTTGCTAAGTGGATTTGTGTTTGGCAGGAATTGGGAAGCATCCAAAAAGGATTAATTAAAAATGTTTCCAAATCAGATAGGAAATATTCATCTTCAACATGTAAAGTTTTACTTCCTGGAACTTCCCTGGTGGTCCAGACTCCACACTGCTAATACAGGGGGCACGGGTTCAATCCCTGGTCGGGAACTAAGATCCCACCTGCCAAGCAGTTTGGCCAAAGCAAAAAACAAACAAACAAAATCGTTAAATTTTAATTCCTAAATATGTTTTTTCAACTCAAGTGTCTCAATGTATTGCTGTTAAAACTTTTTTGCAAGAAGGGTAAGCAGTTTTGATATTTGAGGTGGGGGAAAACACATTTAAAGCAGTGCATTGTCTGAAGGCGACTCTTAAAGTAACAGTTTGCATTTTGGAAAGGTAGGTGGAAAGAAGCCTCATTTGATGAAAACCAGAAGAGAACACGAAAAGAAAGAGAAAAGTAGTTTTCCTTCCTGCCGTCCTCAGCCGGGCGGCTCGGAGGGCACCCCACCTGTGTGGCCCCCCTTGTTACTGCTCTGCTTCTCCTTGTGCCCCCACAGTATGCACTTTACAAAAAGATGACCCAGGCTGCCATCCTGATCCAGAGCAAATTCCGGAGTTACTACGAACAAAAAAAGTTCCAGCAGAGCCGGCGTGCCGCTGTGCTAATCCAGAAGTTCTACCGGAGTTATAAGAAGTGTGGCAAGAGACGGCAGGCGCGCCGGACAGCAGTCATCGTACAGCAGAAGCTCAGGTGGGTGGAGGTCTGGGGGCAGCCAGGAGAACCCCGACTCGGGCAAAAGAGCAGCCCCTTGCAGATGTGCGGGTCTGTCTGTACGGGGAGCAAAGCATCCTTCAGTGATTTCCTCCCAGAGCAGTCTAGAGGCTGTTACCGTAGTTACACCTGTGCCCTTTGCCCAGTTTGGTCCATTTAGCTCCTTCTGTCTCTCTCCACTCCCCACCCAATCATTCTGGTGCCCCACCAGGTTTTAATTTGTATCAGAACCTGCAAGGACCACAGTTCCTACTCAGAAAGGTGGCACCGTAATATAGTCAACTGGGGCTGCCCAGGTGGCGCAGTAGTAAAGAACCTGCCTGCCAGTGCAGGAGACAAAAGAGATGTGGGTTCAATCCCTGGGTCAGAAAGGTCTCCTGGAGGAGGAAATGACAACCCTCTCTAGTATTCCTGCCTGGAGAATCCCATGGACAGAGGAGCCTGGTGGGCTGCAGTCCAGGGGTTGCATAGAGTTGGACAGGACTTAGCACACAGTGCGCGGGTGCACACGAGACCCAAGACCTTGGAAAAGTAAGTAGAGCTGAGCTATTCCATTTTGTAGAGAGTCATGAAGAGTTTTAGCACTAGAAAATACAGTGACAAAAGTTTAGAAAACAACAGCCCAGGGAGTTCCTGGTGGTCCAGTAGTTAAAACTTCACCTTCCAATGCAGGGGGTGCGGGTTCGATTCCCTGGTGAGCAAGCTAAGATCCCACATGCCTTGCAGCCAAAAAAAAAAAAACAACCCATAAAGTAGAAGCAGTAGGGGTAACCAGTTCAATTTGTTGTTGTTCACTCGCTAAGTTGTGTCCTACTCTTTGTGACTCCATGGGCTGCAGCCCACCCGGCTCCTCTGTCTTTCACTGTCTCTCAGACTTTGCTCAGGTTCATGCCCATTGAGTTGGTGATGCTATCTATCTCATCCTCTGCTGCCCCCTTCTCCTTTTGCCTTCAGTCTTTCCGAGCACCAGTGTCTTTTCCAATGAGTCAGCTCTTCGGTTCTTTATTGAACAAATTCAGTAAAGAATCAAAAAAAAAAAGTCTTAAAATAATAGCCCAAGAGAGAATGAATGTCTTAACTGAGAAAGCCCAAACACAGGCAAATGAGCGTCTTGTCTAATTCCATTTTCAACAAATCGAGCTTATAGAGACTTGAGGAGTAGTAACAGGATATCTTATTTTCAGTCCTTCCGTTGTCTCCCTTTGAGTGGTGAAAGCATTTGCACTCCCCTCATTCCATCTCTCCCAGTGATGCCCAGACTCAAATCAGTGAGACAGGCTTGTGCTGTTGGATTTGCTACATGAACTGTTGGGTTAAAAGTTCTCTCCCACCACTGATTTGCTTTTAGCTTTCACACACGAAACTTCACAGCACCATTCTTGTGACAGTAATTCATATTCTGGCTTTTTCAGGAGCAGTTTGCTAACCAAAAAGCAGGACCAGGCTGCTCGAAAAATAATGAGGTTTCTACGCCGTTGTCGCCACAGGTACATTCACCCTCATTTTGACATTTTCTTCATCTAGAAGAATGAAATCACCCACATTGCCTTAACCACTCATAAACTCCTAGGTGAAGCTGACCAACCCCTCGCCCCACAAATAATCAGGCTAAAATGACACCAGGATAACAGAACTCTTTATCTAGGGACAGAGTCATGAGAACCCTGCTCTCTGTTCCAGACGATGCTGTGTGTGTATTGAATCACGGGGATCGTGCCAGTGTTTTTCTGTTTTGGTTCAAGGAGAACTTAGCTGACTAGCTTTTCATTCCAGATTTTTCTTCAGCAGTGTGCTCTTCACTCTAAACCCTTACTGTGCACTAATGTGTGTCCAAACAGAAAAGACAAAAGAGTTTCTCTTCTGAAGGAAAGGATGGGAAATCACTAGTACCAAGTTTTCTGATGTAGTTTCCACTGGATAACTTGTGCCCTCTGCTGGTGGTGTCAGGCCTAACACCCTCCATCAACCGATCAATTCCCAGTATTGTGTGACGGGAAACAGGAGAGGTGGTTGGAAGGAAACTGGGCAAGAAAGGGCAGGCACCTTGAGAGCTAAACCTTTCGCTCTGTTTTCCCGAGTTTGAGATGCTTTGGTGAAGACTGGGTCCTTGACTCAGATTTCAGGGGCTGGTGAACTGCGTGTTTTCTTTACATGGGTTAATGTTCTGTCCTCACTTCTGTGACACTGGCCATCTGAGCTGTGTTCAGACGACTCTCCACGTGGTTTTGTTGTTTTTCCGTCCATCAGGAGCCATGCAGTTCACAAAGCCAAACTTGAAAGCAAGCTCTTTAATGTCTGATTTCTTCCCATTTAATTGTACCCAGAGCCCAAGCTTTCTGGATGTAGTGTGACTCCTCAGAGGTTTCACTTTAGTGTTTTTCCTCCTCAAATTGTCTGCTTGCTAACTTTGGCAATATTTTAACTCTGAAACTTACTAGGGGTTAATGGGCTACTTGTGTGCACTTTTACTTAAATTAACAAAATAATTTGTTTATATGAACACGGAAGGGAAAGTGGACAGAGCTACACATGCACAGTAATAATTAAAAGGAACCTTCTTTAGGAGATATACAGTGCTCTCTAGCCAGGAATTCTGCCAGGGCAGCTGAGGCACTTTTACCATATTCCTCTACAGTGCATTTGCTCTCCACCTGCGGTGACGGGGGTTCTCCCCATGATTAGCTAAGTGATGAGACATCCCATATCAGTGCTCTGAAATAGCAAGTCTTGTTAGAAAATGCATATCAAAATATGGGGCAGGACCAGGACATAATGAAAGGAATTCTCTAGGCCTTACCAAAGTCAGTCTCTTCCTTTTTATTTAGTCACACCTGCCTTAGAGGACTTACAGCCAAATCAAGGAGTTGCTCTTCCTTTGGTGACAATACCAGGGCCTTCGCTGTGCCTTTTTCCCTGTGTGTTCACAGTCTTCTCCCTTCTCCCTCTTCCTCCCGCAAAACAAAAAGCCCAGAGGATTCTCCCCAGCACCACTGAGTCTGTGGTTAACACTCTCCCAACAGATTTGATCTTCAAGAAAACCCCCTCAACATTGCTCTTCCTTAAGCCACATCAAACAAATACGTTCTCAAGTTGAATTCTCCTTGGTTCTTCCATATCCTCAAACTTTGAAAATATCCATACATAATGCCTCTTGGGCTTCCCAGGTGGCTCAGTGGTAAACAATCCTCCTGCCAATGCAGGAGATGCCAGTTCGCTTTCTGGGTCGGGAAGATCCCTGGAGGAGGACATGGCTACCCACTCCACTATTCATGCCTGGAGAATCCCTTGGACAGAGGAGCCTCGTGGGCTACACAGGGTTGCAAGGACTAGGACACGACTGAGCTACTGAACAGCCAATGCCTCCTTGGTGAATGTGAGCAAAGCTGTTCAATACAGTCCTATTTTCTTCTTCTTTCTTTTTTGGCCTCAACCTACTGTGTTTACATTGGGTGAACTGAGAGGGTAAGAACTTATAAGTACCCAAAAGTCTGCTTCATATAGGAGCCTGGGTGAAGGAATGGTTTCACTCGTGTTTTTAAGAGTTCTCCTTTTTCAGAATGGTAGAGAAGCATTTCATGAGGATTTTGTCTTTCTTCAGCCTTTATTTTTTTTACCAGGAATAACCTTATGAAGCTAACAAGAAGATTTGTTATGAAGAGAGTATCAGATTCTGGGTCTGAATTTCTGTTCAGTATTTGGGATTAAACAATGACCTCTCTTGGCTCTTTGTTTTTTTCACTTGCCCCTTGATATTCCAGATGTTAGAAAAAAATGTGCAGGCAAATTGGAGTAACCTTTGTCTACCAGGCATGGTCAGTATTCACTTTCCATACCTATATAGTCAATGAAGGAACTTGAAGAAATCCTGAAAATCTATCCTGGAAGTTTGAACTCACTTCCCCTAGAATAAGTGTCGCTTCATTGCTGTTCCATCCAGGTTATTGAATATTATCTTAAGAGAGACTGTCATCTGTATTGTCCCTTAGAAGCATTAAAACAGGAAATCTCCTGTGATGCCCTCTCAGAAAAGGTAGGTAGGAAGTGGCATCGGGAGTCAGCAAGTGTCCCATTTCTTACGGATTTTACCAAGTCATGTGACCTCAACATTTTTAGACCGAAAAATAAATTGGTGACTTTCCTACCTGCTCATTTCACATCTCCCACCACCACTCTCCTTTTCTTTCTTTCCAGAAAAAAAAAGGAACTACTTTATAGTCTTTTTTTGGTTGTTGTTGAAATAAAGCTATTTATAAGATTTCTGTTGTGACCCTCACATGCTAATAGCTCTTTGGTGTTGTTTTACTGTCTAAAGCCCCCTGGTGGACCATAGGCTGTACAAAAGGGTGAGTGTAGCTGCCTGCTAGCCAGTTTATCTTTACCTTCCATTTTCAATATTTTGCTTTTTGCTTGCTTGCATGGGGCTGCAGCCTAGGTATGCCAGTAAAGTTTCACACCCATTTCGAATGAAATAAGATAAAAACTAACCCTGACTACTAACACTGCTACTTTATACAACAGGAGAACAGTCACATACAGACATACAGAGATGCATGAGCAGGTGAAAGGCCCTGAAGCCATGCTAGCACTTGGTGGGAGAAGCCTTCCGTATGAAAAAGGTGGCTGGTGGGACACGTTTAAATCTAAACAAGGCTGCACTAGAAGGAAATCCTTAAGCAAGTGGTAATTGGTGATGAAAATAATCTACATGAAATTCAACTGCTTCTGTGTGGAAGTTCTAGAGCAAGAAGGCTTGCTAGGTGATACTGACTTTTTTTTTAACTCATCTGTTTCCTATTTAGAGTTACATAGTTTCATTTTCTAACTCTTCCTTTCCTAGTGCTAGGAGGTAAGTCAGTACCCAGAGCCAAGTCAGTACCCAGAGCTGTGCCTCCTGAACCGGCCCAGTACGTTCATTATCCAAAAGGGAGTGAGCCTGACTTCCAACTTTAATGACAGTGCTGAAGAAAGACAGGGTGGTGTGAAGTGTCTGAAACCTGTACATTCTATGTTACGGTCCCGAGTGGATGTTCCAAGAAAATGTGTGTTTTAAAGAAATGATAGCGGTAGTTCAATGGACCGTCTGAGTATCAGTGAGATTTTTAGAATCTGATGCTGATTTGTAAGTATGCAGACATGACTATAACAAGTCTTTGCTGTTATTGTTCAGTCACTAAATCATGTCCAACTCTTTGTGATCCCATGAACTGCAGCATGCCAGGCTTCCCTGTCCTTTACTATCTCCTGGAGTTTGCTCAAACACATCTTAAGTTATAATAAAGGATGTAGCGGGCAGAAAACTGTTTTTTAAAAGCCAGAAATTGAATTCACTAAAATCAGACTTGAATTTAGGTTAACTAGACAACTTTTGTCCTAGAGATAGTCTTAAGATGCATTTAAAAATATAACATGGCAGAAAAATAAAGTAAAATAGAACATGGCAGTTACCTCTATCAACTCAACTACATCCAACATCCTCCCTTCTTACCTTATGCTAACACTGTATTTAATCATTTACAAGATTTCTGAGAAAAGATCATGCTTCAGAAATTCCCAAACTTCTAATGTATTTGGAGATGTTATTTCCCATATAACCACATTTGTGTTGATGCTAATGTTTATTCATTATATTTTAATCCAAATATTAAAAGGCCTTTTAATTAAAAGGCCAGGTAATAAACGTCTGTTGCAATATAGCAGTTCCCCTTATCCATGGGGGACACATGCCACGACCCCGATGGATGCCTAGTGGATGGGTAGTACCAGACCCTAAACATACATACATGTATATGCTAGGTTTTCGCCTATACTGACAGGCAGTTCACGTATACAGCATGGGTGTGCTGGACAAAAGGTTGATCCCCGTCCCAGGCAGGACCAAGATTTTACCATGCTACTCAGACAGCACACAATTTAAAACTCATGAATTGTTTATTTCTGGAGTTTTCCACTTAATATTTTCAGACCACAGTTGACCTGTGGGCCGCTAAAACCTTGGAAAGCAAAACCATGGATAAGGAGAGGATCACTGTATCTAGTTCTGCCATCGAAGCATGAGAACAGCCACAGACAGCCCCATCAGTGGAGGGTCGTGGCTGTATTCCAATAAAACTTTATTACACACATTTGCACTGGGCTGGATTTCGTCCACAGGCTGTAGTTTGCTGACCTAGGGTGACAGGAGAATTGAGTTTTTATACGTTCTTCCTAAATCAAGATCCCAGGTGGCTCAGTGGTAAAGAATCTTCCTTCTAATGCAGGAGACTTGGGTTCAGTCCTTGGCTCAGGAAGATCCCCTGGAAAAGTGAATGGGGACCCATTCCAGTATTCCTGCCTGGAGAGTCCCATGGACAGAGGAACCTGGCAGGCTATAGTCCATGGGGTCACAAAGAGTTGGATACAACTGGATAACTAATACATATATGTGTGTGTGTGTGTGTATATATATTAGTTATTCCTGTAAAAAGTTGACACTGAAGGAGAAATTAGTTTTTAAAAATGTAAAGCAGCTACATGCCATTGTAAATTTAACTAGTCAGAGCACTCTAGAATTAGGCAGCTGCTTACAGTTGAATTATTTCAGGTCCCACGTGATGGAGCCGGCTCAGAGATTTGAGCAGATTTCTCTGTGTTTGAAATACAAGAGAAAAATGGGACACAAATCTCCATTTCTCTCTTTTTCTATTCCCTTCCACTCTCTGCATACATAGATAATATCTCTTTCCATTAAAAAAAGAAAAAAAAAAAAACTCCCAAGAGAACAGATGCATGCCTTAGTATTCAATTTATAAGTGATAGTATCTTGCATGTTTTATGCAGTTTATATAGTTCGCTGCAAGGATCCAACAGTTTAGTAAAAGCAGTTGCTTATGCACTTTGGAAGCTTGTTAGGGTCTGGTATGTTAATGATCCTTTTTAAGAGTACATTTTCTAGAAGTGCTTTTCCATGCCAACCAGAGTCCCCACCTTCATTTCCTGAACGCCTGTTGCATTCTGCTGTGAGTTCCTAAAACTCCTCCTCATGCATGAAAACTTGGAATTTCATAATACCCCCATCCCTCTCAGTCTTAGGGGGCTGGAGAGAGAGGAACTGAGAAGCTTTCAGGTTCCTTCCAACATGGTTATTTTTCTCTGACGTATGAATTCCCAGGTGACTCAGTGGTAAAGAAACTGCCTGCAATGCAGGAGACACAGGTTCAATCCCTGGGTCAGGAAGATCCGGGAGAAGGAAATAGTGAACTACTCCAGTATTCTTGCCTGAGAAATCCCATGGACAGAGGAGCCTGGTGGGCTACAGTCCATGGGGTCACAAAAGAGTCTGACAGGACTGAGCAACTTAACAACTTTGTTCCCTTAAACCGAGGAACAGCTTATCTGTGTCTTGTCTAATTCCCAGTAGGATCTTGTGTCCTCTCTGTCCACTGGAGAAGTCAGGATGGCCCTTCCTCTGAGTCCCTGGATTAAAGTGGCCCGTGGGAGGCAGGGCTTTCTCTGAGGAGGATTTATATTCCTGGAATTTATATCAAAGAAGATAATATACTTACTAATGTATAAAGTAGACCATAGTTAAGGCATTTAAGGTTTACATATTCAGAGATAATAATTTGAAAAGTGAAAGAATGAAATTTCATGCTATAGTGTATATAAAAGGCAATTTGACCCCAACTCCTAAGTTAATGAAGGAGAAAGATAATATACAGGGAAGTGATGTCAGCCATCAGAATTGGGAGCCAGTAGGCTAATTCCAGCAGCTGAGCAATCAGAAAATACCCATTCAAATTATCAGTCTTGGGGAAAGCTAAGAAAAAGCACCAAATGGTCTTCGCTGAATCTAGCTCATTTTCACTTAAGTCTTTCCTCCAGACTTCACCCCTAATTTATCCAGTAATTTAAAATGGAGTCATCCTAATGCCGTCAGAGGAATTTGTTTTGTCTTGGACACAATAACTATCTATTTGAGAAAGCATTAAACACAGATATTTGAGTCAACAGTTTTAATTATTATTTTCCTAGTTCTTTGAGGTGTGATACAACTTCAATAAATGGCTGAAGGATTGCTAAGCTTGAAGAAAGTTTTTAGTGCACAGGCTGAAAATAATTCTGCATTCCAGTTGGATTTTGAGTGTCTCGAACAGGGTGTTATTCAGTGTTACAGCAGAAAACCAGGATGCTTCAGATGAAAAAGAAGATAGAAAACAGCTGAATTACCTAACAGGTTTATTCTCAAGGTATTGAGACTAAAATAGAAATTGCCTTAGACAAATTTCTTCTTTCCCTGATGAGATGAGATTTCTGCAAGAGAGCCTTATAACCTGTTATAGTCCCTGCAGGTATTGTAAACAGCAGGACTCCCGGTATTGAAATAACCAATTTCTTATAAATTGCTGGCCTAGCTACCCATGTTCGATAAAGGTGGGTGAAACCATGCAACTGGAAGGAAAATGAGCCCTGGTTGGAGGAAGAAGAAATAACACTTTCTGATCACAGATTTAAACAACAGGTTTTCTATTTGACAGCTGAGTTTCCAAACACTTAACCAGATGCTGCTAGTTATCTTGGTAAGTAGCGTTGACAGCACAGATTTTTGAGAGCAGTTGAGCCAAATATCTGCAGTGGGCCACTAGCAAGTTCTGCAGGTCACACATAGACTTTGTGTGTGGTTCTCTCCACTTTCGTCCAAAGGGCAGCACTCTTAACAATGCCTGCGAGTGAGCTGTTTAATTGAGGAAAGTAACAGTCTGTCAGCAACTCGGATGTCTCACTTCTCTAGTTAAACGTGGCGTTAGGTGAATTTCCAAGTGGCCCAGTCGGCTCAGGGAGGAGTGAGAGATGAAGGTGGGACGTGGCATCTCATTAAAATCTCCAAAGTAATTCTGTCTTACTTGCCTCTTTTAGGAAATGAATCTTTTGGGAACACAGTGGTGTGTGTTACATTGCAGACAACATGCTCTGTGTTGTTCTTATTGGGCCTCTCTGTCTTTTTCATTTTGCAATCCAAATGAGGTATCCGGAAAATGGCAAGACCTCTCTTTTCCTAAACCCCCCCACGAGCTATTGCAGCTCTCAGAACAACAGGTAACTAAGCAGAAAGCCGCCTCTGGCTGCCCTGTACATTTCTGACGTCCAGCATTGCAAGAATATACCTGCCAAGATCCACTGACTCATGACACATTTCCCTGGCTGAGCATCACCAAGTAGATGTAATGAAGCCGCTTTGCCTAATGCTTTACCCATGGAGCCATTGTTTGCTACGAGTTTCTGAAGCAGGCCTACTTCATTTATCCATAAATGATCATGGGACGTCTGATGGACGGAAACCCCGTGGGCTTCTGCTGGCTTTCAATGC